TTCTTTTCCTGGCTGGACAACCGCTCGTCCAGCAGGCGAGAATGGTCCCTGGGACGAGGAGGAGGAGGAGGGGAAGGGTCTGTCCTGTGAACACCAAAAACCCCAGGGTCACACCAGTCGTGACAAGCAGGTCGTGCAAGGAGTGTTGGTGGCCCAATCTGCTCTTAAGCAAAACCCACTCAGTGTCAGGACCTGAGCTTCTGTTCAGAAGCTTTGAGGTCCTTCCGTCACGTCATCGCTGCAACCCTCGTTTTAATCTCCTCCTGTTTAATCTTAAACAAAGGTAAAAAGGAACATGGAGCTGTTGGAGTGAGGCCAGAGGAGGCCCCGGAGATGCTGGGAGGGCTGGAGCAGCTCTGGAGCCAGGCTGGGAGAGTTGGGGTGTTGAGCCTGGAGAAGAGAAGGCTCCAGGGAGACCTGAGAGCAGCTTCCAGTGCCTGAAGGGGCTCCAGGAAAGCTGGGGAGGGGCTTGGGACAAGGGCAGGGAGGGATGGGAGCAGGGGGAAGGGTTTTAAACTGAAAGAGGCGAGATTTAGGTTAGACATCAGGAAGAAATTCTTCACCATGAGGGCTGGAAGGTGCTGGCTCAGATTGCCTAGAGAAGCTGTGGCTGCCCCATCCCTGGGGGTGTTGAAGGGCAGGTTGGATGGGGCTTGGAGCAGCCTGGGCTGGAGGGAGGTGTCCCTGCCCATGCAGGGGTGGCACTGGGTGAGCTTTGGGGTCAATTTCAACACAAATTTCTCTGTGATTCTGCAATTTCATGATCACACCCCACGACCCCCCCCCAGGACCTCCCCAGTGGGCACCTGGATTCTCCTGCAGAGCATCCCCAGGAGCAACACGTGGGCTGAGAACAGGCAGAGCAGAACTCGTGGCACACACAGCACGTTTGTGCTTCCTGTGCATTATTTGCATCTGAGCACTGCAAAGCAGCCTGAGACCCTCTTGGTTTTCATACAGCTGCCCCCTCCCCATCTGCCTGCTGAAACCTGGGGAACCAGGCAGGGCTCAGACACTCCCAGTGAAACTGCCTGTAAATATAGACAAGAGGAAGGGTGTTGCAATGATCTGAAACTGGCAGGTACAGAATTGAGCTCAATTTAGATAGGCACAATCTGGAGTTTGAGGGAAACCAGAGTCTTTTTTTTTTTTTTTAATTAAAAAAAAAAAAAGGAAAAAAAAAAACCAGAAAAAGACTGAATTTCTTCAGAACTGTGGGTTTGCATTTATCCAGAAAATTATTATTGGTTTATGCCTACTAGTTTAACCTGAATGTCATATTTTATTTAATTTTTTTATGATCTCATTGCTATGTGAAGTACCCTTTCATCACAAAATTTAGCTAAACCCTGTAGCCCAATGCTGAAGAAAAATGCTCAATTAGTCATTTGGGAAAGAAGTCATATGCATTTTCTCTTGATCTCTTCTTTTAGCCTGCTATAAATAAAAACTCTGATGTAAAAATATTTTTTTTTAAAAGGAAGGAGAAGAGAGGAGGGCTCAGCTACCCTACTTGATCAATACTCAAAATGCAGAGATGACAGTTTAATGAGTGAAGGGAGCCTAAGGATGCTCTGCAAGAAATTTTACAGCCAGATGGGCTGCAATGATGTTCTGGCTTCTGCCAGATTCTACAAGGGGCTACCTCACATTTGTCTGTGCAATTAAGGTTTTAAAAGCTTGGCTTTGGCACCAAAAAGATGTGAGGACTTTATTTCCATTTCTTTTCAGTAAAAAAAAATATCTAAATATTAATATGAGGCTGTGTGAGGTCTCTTACTTCAAGGTCCCTTCCAAAGCAAAGCATTTTATGGTTCTACAAAGCTATGATTCCTCAGATCCCTTCCCCTGGTCCCAGTCATTCTGTCCATATTTTGCATTCAAATCAGCCCATTGGGGAAGAGCTGAGGAGGCAGCAAAGCAAAAAAAAAAAAAGAAATAAGCAAAAATACTGGAAACCACTGGAGGCTCATCAGGATAGTGATAAATTCTGCTGCCACAATTACTGTCTCCAGTCCCTCATGAAGGGCTGGGTCCTGCAGGACATGTGCCACAGCCAGCACCCAAAACCAGAGGAGTTCTAGGCTTTGTCAAGTCCCTGGTCTGGAACCACCAGACCCCTACAAGCTGCTGGCAGCTTGGGGTGCATCTCTCAACGTGACCCTCTGGGAGCAGGGGAGGTGCTCACCTCACACCACCCTCCATAAACACCTTTCTCCTCCCGGCCCCCCCCCCCCCCCCCCCCCCCACCCTCCTGCCAGTTTGAAGGCTCATCTGCACCAACACATGGATAAAAACACCCTTGAAGCCTCATGGGATTTACCAAGGATCTAGATCCATCACTCATGGAAACAGATTTCCTTTGCAAATATTGTTGGCTTTCCATGTTGATGAAAGTTTCAGGTTTTGATTTGGTTTGGCTTTAGTGGAGATCACTTGGGCTTAGGAGGCCACTTTGATTTATTAACGATGCCCTTCAAAAGACCTGGGTGTGCAATAAGCTACCCCCACCATCTACTGCTCTAAACACATCAATTACCATTATCAGCCGTAATTAACAGCTGAGTGGAGAAGCCTTTTCAGAGCCCCAAGGATCTGGTAGCCTGAAAGTGCTTTGCAGCACTTGCTCCTCCCATGTCAGGATGATTCCTGCAGGCAGAGCCACCTCCCAGCTGCTCCATCCTCCAGCTGAAGTGTTAATGCACAGGCAATCATGGCTTTAAGGATGCAGGTGCCACCAGCAGAGACACGGCCAGGAGAGGCAGGAAGCAGATTGAACAAGAGCTCTCTGCTCCTGGATGAGCTGCAGTGCCTGCTCCCACGGGCTCAGAGAGCCAGGAGGACCTGGCTGCACCAGAAGAGCCCTCAAACCCTGATCTCAGGTGATGCCCAAGATCAGGCAACTGGAAGAAGAAAACAAAGTGGGTAAACAGGATCAGTTGGACCAGATCTACAGTCTGGTTCTGTAGGCTGAGGCCAGCAGGGATGGTGATGGGAGCTGGATGGGAAGAGGAGAGCTAGGAGATAGGTGACAGTGATCATAGTGCTCTCTCTTCATGAGGTAGGAGAGACATGGAAGTGCCCTGTATAACAGTCCCATCCTCTCTCCTCCCCTTGGCATGTGTCCCTGGAGAGGTCCAGAAGCACCTGCAGGTCCTGGGGCAGGTGAGTATCATACTCATGGGAAATCTCTTCAGGAAAGAGCAAAGGCCCTTTGAGACCACACTGGAACTCCTTGTGCTAAGCAGAGCCCCACACAGAACAGGCTGCAGTTCCCAAAGCCTGCAGATTTACAGCCCATTCATCCAAATAATGCCTGTCCCTGTGACCTGCCCCATCTCTGCAGAGGGGATGGGTGCCCTGAGACCTTCCCTCCCTCCCTCCTGCTTCACTGCCCTGCAGATCCACTTCCTCAGCCCCAGGGCAGCACGGTGGGGCAGCTGTGTGCTGTGCTGGCACTTCTGCTTGCTGCTGCTCAGGAACCCAAAAAAAGAAGGACCTACAGTTAAATAGATGGCCTTCACTTCATCTGGGAGACAATCAGTGACACTTCTCTGCAGCCCCACGTGGCTACTGGTTCTCCCAAGACCTGCTGGAAGTTCAGGAGGTTGGGTGCTAAGCCTCAATTAAACCTGTTGGAAATGCCCAAGGAATTAAAAGAATTATCAAAGGCAAGGCAGCTTCACTGTCTTTGACAAGCAAGCCAATGGCAAAGGGACATTTGCAGGGAACTGCTGGAGGCAGAGAGAAAAAAGACTCAGATGGGGTAAATCATGGACTCATAGAATTGTTGGAAAAGACCTTTAAGATTATTGAGTCCACCTCTTCCCCCAGCCCTGCCCAGGCCACCCCTGCCCCGTGTCCCTCAGCACCATCTCCAGGGCTTGGAAACCCCCCCAGAGATGGGGACTCCCCCCCTGCCCTGGGCAGCCTGGGCCAGGCCCTGACAACCCTTGCCAGGCAGGAATTGTTCCCCAGATCCAACCTCAACCTCCCCTGGCACAACCTGAGACCATTTCCTCTTGTTCTACTGCTTGTTGCTTCAGGAAGCAGACAGATCCTCACCTCTTTACAACATCCTTCTGGACTCTCTGTTTCCTGGGTTTTCTTAGCTTGTTTTTTTTTAAAAACTACTGAGTCTGCTTTAATTAAAAACAAACAAACAAAAACAACAGGAGAGGGCGGGGGGTGGATTTTGTTCTTGGCAAACAACATCATTGTTCTGCCAGTGAGACTATGAGTATTTCCCAGCTGACCTGTGGCACAGGTGCAGCTTCAAGTTTGGGAAACCATGTTCCTGCCAGTGGCCCCCAGGGTTAAAGAGGCTGCAAGAAAATACCAAGAAGACTCGGAGAAGGAACACTGATAAACATGACATCAAGTTAATCTATTTACTGTAACTTGAAGTTGTTCCCTCAATTCTGTGGGGGAAAAAAAAAAAAAAAGAGTAATCTGGTGGGATGACACTTCAAGGTGGTGAATAATCAGCAGGCACCTTCATCTCACATGAACCTTGAGTGTTCTTGACAGGTGCAAACCCATCTTCATCTCCCTGCTTATTCAGTGAGAGCAGTGAAGGACACAGCTTGAAAATAACCTGGTCTTTTTCTAGTTGAGCTGCTCGTAGGGGTGTAGGAGAAAATGCATCTAAGGCCTAAGCACAGAATATTCTTTTTGTGGATTGCTCCAGGAAACTCCATCCCTGAGACAGGGACTTTCTCACCAGTGTCTGCCTCCCTGGCCACCCATCTCCACCCTCCCTGCACCATGAAGAGCCCACAAACGTGTCCTGCACTGCAGGAGGGAGAGGGCTGAGAAAGCAGAGATCATAGAATCACAGAATCATGGGCTCATTAAGGTTGAAAAAAGACCTCTGAGATCATCAAGCCCAACCACCAACCCTGACGTGCTACATCCACACATTGCTCAGCACCTCCGGGGATGGTGACTCTTCCCTGAACATCATGACTTCCCTGAGCAGCCTGTGCCAGGGTCTCACCCCTCTGTCAGCACAGAATATCCAGTCTGAACCTCCTCTGGCCCAATTCTGTGCTGTGAGGGTGGGGAGAGCCTGGCCCAGGTTGCCCAGGGAAGCTGTGGCTGCCCCATCCCTGGGGGTGTTGAAGGGCAGGTTGGATGGGGCTTAAGGCCCCTCTTCTAAGATTATTACTCCTTGTAGCCCTGAACAAGCCAAGGAAGTATTTCCCCAAGTAGTTTATTTGTAATATGTTTAACATGTTTTACGTGTTTCATCTGTTTCACATTTTCTGTTTGTAGAGACGCCACGGAGCATTAGCTGGTTTTTACTTTATGGATCACAGAGCACTCCCCTCATTTCTGCTGCTAATCAAATAAATCACTATGGAGGCTTCTGCATGAAGACAAGGGAGACCATAAAACAGGCACAAAATTGCATTGCTCTTGCACAGGAAGCCTCCTAAATAACCAACACGCCACAAAAAAAAAAATAAATGTGTGTGTGACTCCTCATAAAATAAGAAATCCAGGAAAGTAATGTGGAATGCAGAGCTGTGGGGGCAGAACAAGGCAGGTACTAATTGTTGCACTAATTGTTTTCTCTCTCATGGGGCTCTGATACTGGTAGCTGGGTTGGGCCAACAAGCAGAGCCAAGGTCCAACCTCCTCCATCCCACCCCCTGCCACAACACTCCCAGAGGCTTCTGGCCACCCCAGAGCCACCAGGGCAGGGGGTTTTGGGGTGGTTTAGCTGCTTTTCTGTGTGATTTCTCTCGAAGCAGCAGAGCAGAGTCTGGGAGACAGGAGGAAAGTCCATGGGTGAAGGGCAGGCAAGCAGGAGCCCAGGTGAGCAGGAAGAATTTGATGAGTTTAACCCCAGGCGTGTTCCTTGCTAAAACCAATAACAAATGTTTTGCAGCTTATCCAGAGCAATGATTTGTCAGCGTTGCCTAATTGCTTCTGTCGTGAAGGAAATAGCCCTGGTGCTCTTGTTAGCAGCTCCTTGGAAACAGCTGCTGAGCAGGAGGTGTCTGAGCAAGGGTAACAACCTGAGGAGCTCAGCAAAGGTCCCCTCAGCCTTCTGCTGGGCTCAGACCTGCCTCCTGAATTGTGATTTAGACCAGGCTGGAGCATAAGCTGCCTCTTCCCATTCCAAATAAAGTCCAGAGGAGCTGGGATGCCTTGCAGAGCTGGGCTTGGAGCTGTGCAGAACGCTGAGTGCACTGAGTACTTATCA